TTTTTTATTATTATTAAATCAATGTGGAGTAATAAGAGTTTATTATTTAGTCATTTCACTTTTTTTAATATTATGATCAATTACCAAGATATTCATTATTCTTTTTCAATATGTTATTAAAAGGTAAATTTGGTAGCATAACATTATCCCTACTGGAAAAACCTTACTGTCGTTTGCAATTTGAACTTTATAACCATTTTAGTTAAGAGTGTTCACCCTACCTTATAGGTAGAAAATATGGTCTTTCATCTTCCTATTCGATATTTTGCGGAAGAATTTTTTCTTACCTTACCATACCCAATCAAGTATAATATTCCTACCCGCATTCCGTCCAAATTAATGAGATAGAAAATTGCGTGAAACACATTTTTTTAGGTATTAATTTTTAGATCATTTTAACAATTCAATTAAGTAATATGCATCAATTTAACAACACAATAAATTAATAACACTAAAATCTAAAATAATTACAACAACAATTATAATAAAACACAAGAAAGCCCAATGCATAAACATCAATCTATCATAATTGTTATACAAATACAACAACAATTATTTTAAGTTTAAATCATATGAAACACATCAAAAATCATAACTGCTTTGATATATATATATATATGTGTGTGTGTGTGTGTGTGTGTGTAAATAAATATAAATATGCAAGTAAGATAAGGTTGAAATACAGAAATTTAATGGACATTTCGCATTCCTACTCAATTTTATCGGCATACCAAAAAATCTTCTGTATTTCTACTTAATTTTTTTAGTCAATCGATAAATAAAATTGAGTAGAATCAAGTAAAATAAAAAATTACAAATAATCAAAAATTTGAACAATTTAATTTCAACTGCTACCGAAATAGTAACTGTAAGGTAATTAAATTACCATTATTACTAATAATTATATTATTGTGTGCACAGATTTCTGAAAAAACATATTATTATGTGCATGGGAATAACGCGTTTTGTTAAACGGGGACGGGGGGATGATTGGATTCTGATAAAAAGAAAAGGGGAATTGGAAGGGAGGGGGCGAGTCAACCGCGGGATAAAGCTGAGCACATGGCTCGAGAAGAGAGAATGAAATAAAGGCATACAGCACAATTATTGGGACTCGCACACGTCCATTACCATTCTCACCACCCAATTCTTTGTCTACTTGATTGATTCAAAGCACTAACACTTTAATTTTACCTTCTCTTTTTTTTTTTTCAACACCGAAGGTATTCAAATTAATTTATATATATCTCAATTAATTTTTAATTTAATCCGATCAAAAGTGAAGTATGTCATTAGTACCGAGATTAAAATATTCATAAAAGATAATTTTTTTATAATTTAATATTAAAAAATTATTAAAATTCAAACTCATTACGTTTGAATTTATAAATTATCATTTTTATCACTTGAGCTAACCCTTATCATTTTACAAGTATAGTATCATTTTTATCATTTTTAAAATTCAAACTTATAATTTATGATGCCATTCTTATTCATTAGATATCATTCTTTCTCTATTATAATTAGGACTCTCAATTGGGTCGCACAAGTCCGAAACTCATTTGACACGTTAATTATAAACAATTCGTATACATTCAAATTCAAGATAACTTTTTAAACTCGAGTTGTATTTAGGTTGATTTTGACGTATAGTACTTCATTTTTTTCTTTCTTTTTTTAATGCGATGTAATTTAAAAAATACTGATCACATGGACAAGCCCAAGTTAAAGGGAGACAAGGGACAAATATAAATAAGTTGTGATTACTCTCCAAGATCCTACACAAAGATAGATAGCTAAAATTTTGTTTATTTAAATTGCATAAATTTCTACCCAAGATTAAAGTTTGAGAGTAACACAGAGAGAAAGGGCATCAGATTCAGTGATGTCTAGGAGAAGAGGCAGCCATAGCCATGCCTTGTAGTCAACAGTAAAAGGGTAATCTTGGCTTTTAGCAGATTTTATATATAAAAGGATGATCATATAATGAAGAATATATCTATATATATATATATATGAGGATTTGTACATATGGATTGAAGTCTATAACAAGAAGATCGTGCTATAGATAGGAAGAGGGTCAAAATGGTAAAAGAAGGACCTCGGGCCCCTAAAACAATGTTAAACTATCATATAATTATCATTGAGTTTTGGGTAATGCATTGATTGCTTTTTAAAGGTTTTAAATGATCCTGCTACCATTGATTAGGCAGCGTTTTAGTCCTAACCACTTTTGTCAATTGGATTGTACGGCTTGATTTAGGCCGCCAATGGTCCGTACGTGATTTATATTATTGAAATTCAGATTAATAATGACCTCTAATTAGGGAACATCATGTGCTCCACTAAAAGATGCTTCTAATAAGTACTATCTCTCTCTCTCTCTCTCTCATAGCCCCTGAGATGTAGGTCTAAGCAACTATAAGGTTTCCGTCCCAAGCAGTTGGAGTTTGAAGAATGTTTATGGCTTTCCATATAGATGCTTAGTGTAGTTTTGAGATTTGTACCTAATTTGAAAATTTAACACGTAGCGTTAATATATTGTTAGAATTAATTTGATAACGGGATTTTTATATTGAATGAATTTTAATTGTAAAATGACTTATTTAACGATCTCTTGAAGGCTAAAATATCTTTATTTGCCAACTGAAATTTATTGAAAACATTTGTCACGTCACATTTACTATAGAAAAGTTTCATATTTCTATGATAATAAATCTATCAATGAAAGATAGATAATATGATCAAGAGATAAGACTTAATGGTGGACTGATGTCAAACCATGGAATACATGGCCCCAATTTTTGTACATCATATATGTACTTTATGTGGGTGATTGACAGCCCCAAAGTTTGCTTGTACAAACTTTTTCTCTCAACTCATTTGTACAAATGTTGCTTTTACATTCCTACAAAGAATGATAATCGAGTTTGAGAACGTTGAAATAATAATTTTTTGTATTTTACACTAATTTGATATATTAATCATACTTTTGAAATTGGTAGAATTTTCTCACGTTAAGATAAACTATCAGATCACACATTTGCCATACTATTGGCAATGAGGAGAGAGCTCACACGTGGCAAGACAACTGACATCCCCTTGATTCCTTTATATTAAAGTAGGAATGTTTGTGACTGTTAGATGAGTCTATTTGAAATTGTCGTATGTCTATCCCTAGAATAATCTTTATATTATGCCTAACCATAGACATAGCACAAGGGATATAACTCACCTATTCGAGTACCAAGTAGAGTGGAATGCATACTTCGTAGGCAAGCAATAGAGTCACTTGTTCATTTATTTTTTGAATGCCCATTTTTCCAACCTATCTGGTCACATATCATAAGGTTTGTGCGGAGAACAATGACAAGTCAAACCTTGGCAAGTGATGGTTACACATGCAGCTCAAGTCTCGCGAGGAAAGACCTTGCAAGTTGTGCTCCAAAAACTCAGCCTTGCTGTAACTGTGTTTAGCACATATGGATGGATAGATTTAATTGAAATCTGTATAGAAATCAACTGTCTTCTTAACCTTATAGTTCAAACCATAAAAAATAGAGTTGCTGCTCTTAAATTGAAACCATCCCTTAATAATATGAAGTTAGCTCAAGCCTGACAACTACCCAACAATTGCTTAGAATAATTGGCCGATGGGAACCAAAATAATCCCCTCCGTTTGGTTGTTTTTTATGGATATCGCGTACTCACCGTCAATTGTAACTTTGCAGCATATACAAAAAGTCAGAAAACTATGGTACATACAATTTTTTTTCGAAAATTAATTGCAAGTATAAGTAATCTTTTTTTTTTGGAAGTAAATAAATTATTTTTGTTAAAAGAGATACATATATAGATGTTGAGAATCATATTCTATTCAACTTATGTTGGATTCCCTGATGGAAATGCCACACTTAACTCTTCAAGGCTTCGTGACCCAAAAACAATCTCTTCAAAGCCATTGCTATGGCCTACTTGGGGACCTCTTCATGTAACATCACTTCTGTTACCCTCTAAAGCATTGACCTCTAAATACAACCACCTCTTCGATTCAACCAAAACTATGAAAAACAAAGCCTTGAAGTCCAAGATAAAATGATTACAGAAAGAATTAGAGGGGAATACGAGCAGTTTATATAAAAATACGAGGACACAAATTGGCTACTAGCCTCACAGCCTGTGATGCTCATAGTCACAGAAACCCTTGTGGCCATTGGATCAACATATGTGATTGATTGGTGTGCGATGAAACTCGATGTAAATCCCTCTGTGAAACTGTGTGTTTCCTCTTTTGGCTAGATTTTTGGTTCATTAAAAATTAATAAAACGGTCTTAATTATAGGAAAGGTCAGAAAAAGTAGAGCGTGTTTTCCGGTGCCAGGACGACTAAGCAAAAGCTGACGCTTTGCCACGTGGATGATAAGAACGCCGTGTGATTAACATTTAACGGATGAGATTCGATGTTCCTTGATGAGGTTTTATTGCGAAACTGCAAGAGAACTGTAGATGTAGTGGTGAGACGTACATTTTCTGCCCAAAACCAACCCGAGTGTTTGCACAGAGAGAGAGAGAGAGCGAGAGAGAGAGAGAGGGGAGGGAGGGTGATGACACTGTTGATTATCTTAAATTGAGGTTGCAGAGGGGGGATGCAGTGCCCATGGCGGCGTTGCAGGGCTGTGACTTTAATGCATCAAACAAAAACAGAGAATTCAAGAGAAGAAGTGCAGAGAGAGAACGATCTTCTTTGCCCTAAAAAATTCCAAAAATTTGTTCTGAAAAGCTGCAAAAACGAACCCCAAAACAATACCACACGCAGAGAGAGTCAGAACCAGCACAAAACACATAATACACCACAAACTAACCCACCAACACTCCTTACTCAAAACCCACCGAGCAAAATTACAGATCCCCCACTCTTTAATACCAACTTCTTTAAATTGAGGTTTTGCTATGGATTTTCTGTCAAAATTGAGCTCAGTCTTAGCTCATAGGTGTCGAAAATGTCTGGGTTCTTCTCACTAGGCGGAAAAGATCACCAAGACCAAGAGCAACAAGACACTACAAACAACTGGTTTCTGTTCAAGAATGAAGAGATCTACAACAAGGGTTTTGAGCTATGGCAACAGTACTACCATCAACATCAACAAAAGCTACAACAACATCAACAACTACAAGATGTAGATTTCTCAGTGGGTCCTAGTAGGAGATTCATCAGTGACAATACGAATAACATCTGTGATGATTCATCGTATAGATCAGGTTTTGGGGTGATGAGACAAGGAGGAACAGGAGGAGGTATGAATTGCCAAGACTGTGGCAACCAAGCCAAGAAGGACTGTACACATCTGAGGTGCAGGAGTTGTTGTAAGAGCCGAGGGTTTCAGTGCCAAACGCACGTCAAGAGTACTTGGGTTCCTGCTGCCAGAAGACGAGAGAGGCAACAACAACTCGCTGTTTTGCAGCAACAACAGTTGACTCTGCGAGGAGAGAATCCCAAAAGGCAGAGAGAGAATCCAGGTGCTTCTTCTCTTGCTTGCACTCGTTTACCCAACACCACGTCAGGTAATGTTGTAGTTTACAATACAAACGAAGTCAAATTTGAAATTAAATACCCTCGATTTGATGGGCTCAAAGAAATTTAAAAGTAGGTATTGGGAGAAGAACACTTTGAGATTCAAGAACTGTTGGTGCTAGAGAGATCTATTGAACATAGCAATGGAATATATTGATATACCTTCTAACCCTCAAAACTGGACTATATATTTTGCGTGTGATGGATGAACTTCACACCATCCATGTCCACTACCCACCCCCTCACCTGCTGTCTTTTTTTTTCTTTTCTTTTCTTTTTTGCTCTTTTCTTCTCCTGTACACTTCTACTGTTACTGTTAGAGAGTAAAACTGACAAGGAAAGAACTGTGGAGTTGGTAAAAAAGCTTTCTTTTTTCCTNAAACATATGTATTAGAGCTATGATATGGTCCTTATATATCCATCAATATCCAGATTAGTATAGAGGATGTTTAACACAAGTGATATTTATCTTTTTTCTTATGTATTTCTTATGAATAATATTATTCAAGTTTATTGATTAGTTACATAGGACTCGATACTATTTAAAAGGTGGAAAATATTTAAGCTAAAAATATTTATCACTCGTGCTTATAAATATGCAAACATATCAGTATTGTGCAGATGTAGATGGATCTCTAAGCATCCTAATATGTCTAGTATCATATACACATCATTATGCATGTAGAGATAGTGTTAGCATTTGCATCAGTTGCTGAATTCTCTAGAAAGTATTGCTTTAAATTAGAAGAACTAAGTTGAAATTGCATGAATATATATGACACATGAAGTAATGGACGCTTTTCGAGATCTAGCAGCTAATGTTTAATGCTCCTGCAATCATATGCATGTGATGCTTGTTATATGTGGACATGTACATTAATATTGATAAAGAAGCTGTAATGGACATGAAGTAATGGACGCTTTTCGAGATCTAGCAGCTAATGTTTAATGCTCCTGCAATCATATGCATGTGATGCTTGTTATATGTGGACATGTACATTAATATTGATAAAGAAGCTGTAATGGACATGAAGTAATGGACGCTTTTCGAGATCTAGCAGCTAATGTTTAATGCTCCTGCAATCATATGCATGTGATGCTTGTTATATGTGGACATGTACATTAATATTGATAAAGAAGCTGTAATGGACATGAAGTAATGGACGCTTTTCGAGATCTAGCAGCTAATGTTTAATGCTCCTGCAATCATATGCATGTGATGCTTGTTATATGTGGACATGTACATTAATATTGATAAAGAAGCTGTAATGGACATGAAGTAATGGACGCTTTTCGAGATCTAGCAGCTAATGTTTAATGCTCCTGCAATCATATGCATGTGATGCTTGTTATATGTGGACATGTACATTAATATTGATAAAGAAGCTACATACGATAAGATTATAGGCTACTAGATGTGGTACATTTTAAAGAAACAAAAAGTTAATTGTAGAAGCTTTCCTTAATTTTGAAAATTTCTGATCAAATATTACAAGTACTCCTGTCTTTAACTGATTAAGCCATCACACGCTTAACGGAGACACATACTTCCTTTTAGCTTCTTGTATGATCCTTTTCCTTGCCTTCTCTATCTTCTCTTCTTAATTTTTGATAAGTTTTGGTAGAAACAAGAGGAAACTTTAGCTGATTCTTATATATTTGGAAGAATTTGTTCTAAGCGAATTGAAATACTACCTAAAGACTCCGGTATTTCTTTTCTAAGGACTAGGGCATATCATTATCACAAAGGATAATCAACTAATGCAACAAAGAACAATCCAATTATATTGTGAGCAGGGAGGAGTAGCAAGAAATTCGAAATATGAGCATAATGGAATCCCAAAGAAGGGACATGAGAAATCAATTATCATTATTAGATTGATTGTATAGTCTTCTAATTAATGCTTTTCTTGATGCCATTTTTTTTATCGCCCTCTATGGTGTTGGAACCCACATGTGAATCCTACATTGGGAAATCAAGAAATGAAAGGAGGGTTTATCTATAAAGATTGGAATAGACCACTGCTTGAACTTAAGCTTTATAGTTAAATTTGAATCCAACTTGTATATGATCCCATATCCTAACATGTAGCTGATTAGATAATATCTGATCAATTTGAAAAGCCTTAATTTGTATTTTTCTTGTGGATATTTGATGTCTTGCATGTCGGATTCCATTTCCATTCTCATAACATGCAAAATGAGTTTATTGTGTTTTCGTATCATATAAGCAGTCAGTTCATTTCCTCAACACCAATCTACATTTTTTTCTTCCCTGGCCCTTGCTCTTTTTTTCATTGGCACTAATTCAGAACAAGGACATTCACACATACAAGCATTACAATAGATTGCATCCATCTTATGTAAATTTGAAGTGTGTTGTTAACTACAGTTTCAACTCACAAATGCTTTATATGCTTCAATAGATTTGCAATTCTTGTGTGGATGCATATACATACATTAAAGATTTATTCCATTTGATGGTGTTACATAGGGATGAGTGTGATGATGCCTTTGAATTTCATAAGGCAGTTTTGCTGGTTATGATTCCTCAAATTGTTGTCTACTTGTCTATGCCACTACATTTGAATCCCTAATTTGTTTTATGAATTGCATCGTTTCTCATTAAAAAATTTCACTGTAATTGAGGTTATTTTGAGAGTTATTTGCTGCAAGAATTGATGACCATCAATCTGGTAAATTTTAGAAGGTTTGAAGGGGAAAATATTGTCTATTTGTTGGTTTCTCTTTTAATGCATATGCTAATTTTGGGATTTATGCAATTTAGTCAAAATGTTACCAGGTACAAACAAATGCTTTTGGTTCAAATCCAACATGAAAATTGCATCCCAATGCATCAGTAAACTTCACAGCATCTTTCATGCACTTAGACTTAGAAATTATTTAATACCATAGTGGATTACAATTTCTGAGTTATTGCGTAGCTCAAAGGGGTGTACTTTCCATAATGCATTGTGTATATTAGTACTCGAGACAATGGAAGGCGATCGATAAAGCATTTGCTTTTTTCTTTTCATCTTCCTAGGCAACCAAATGATACATGACCCCATAATTAATTTCTTCCCTGCTTGAATCATATGTGTTGGACACTGATAACCTCATTGATGCTGTTTCTCAAAATCAGCATGGAACACAATGATTCCTGATTGTTAAAGATGATACAAGTTTGGTATCCAAGCGTTTCTCTTTCCTTTACTTGTGTTTTGTTGCAAACCTTTTTTTTTTTTTTTCCTAATAGATCATAAGAATTCGAATTTGATTCAACATAAACAAATAAGTTTACCCAAATTTCTTAGTATACCATTCAAGAACTTGAGTTTTATCCTGGTGGATTTCATTATTGACACCTTCAAATGGAAGGTCACGATATCAAGTCTTGCCAAAGGCAAGTTAACCCCTAACGGCCCTTTTGGGGATGTACTCTATTCTGTTGTGCATCTCTCGATTCTCTTTAGGTGTTATCTTTGGTTTTATTGATTGCAATCATTGAAATCTATGTGAATGATTGGATCAGCGATTACATTGACTTATGCATGCACCATTACACGAGTTTCCAGCATGTGTTATCACAGTGAGGACTATTAATGGTTCAACAAAAAAAATCTGCTTAGTAAATGAAACAGCCAAAACAAGAACAGTAGGCCTTTAGGGTGGGCAATTGCTGGCATAGCAGGGTAACGCCAGGCGCATGGGAATCTACTGTAATTCTGCTATTCTTGGCTTTGTTATTGAACTTCTGCGTTGTGGTCCAAAATCCAGCTTTGTTACTAATAATGCTCTTCTTCCATCAGTCTGCATGAGCCTAAACCTTGGAGATTTCCTAAGTCAAATACAACCAGCTAGCTTGTAGCATGGCCCGTTTGGCCTCTTAAAGTAACCAAATGACTCCAACTCCATTTGATTTTTGTTCGTTTAAGCTTGTTCATTTTGGAAAATGAACTAAATACGATAAATTTGTTTAGTACGGTTGGTATCAAGCTAAGCCCAACAACGTGTCCCTTTCCTCGGTAGACTGAACTTGATTCATTTATATTATAATTTTTTTTCCAGAAGGTATATATATTATAATCTATTTAATATTATATTTAAAAAAGTTAAATTCTTGATTTATAAAAATAAAACACAACAACAATGAAATATTGATTAAATTTTCATCTATTTTAATTCAATAGTACAAATTCATCCCAACTTTTTTTCTCGATTAAAAATATTATTTTTTCTGCATAGCTCTCGATGTCAGACAATCAAACCAACACATTCCCCAATGAGCCAGTAATATACACATTTATAATTTATAATAAATGTTAAATGATCAATACTCAATTTTTGATATTATTTTCAGACGAAGAATTATAGTTAGTACATGAATACGCTTGATGGTGAAAAAATAACAAATTAGCATCTTAAGTGTAATGGATAAGGCGTTATTCTTGTTATCGATTTATATAGTGAGGATATGAGTCAAAATTGAGGTGGATTTTTTTTTTTTAATTCACTCGAGTCTTATCTCGAATTCAAACTTGTAACATCAAAATAAATCGAATCGAATTCAACATATACTCTACAAAACAAAAGTCAAGATTGGTTATAAATTCAAGTTTTAAAACCGAGTTCAAGGCTATAAACCAAATCTATAAATGCTACACTTGAAAAAAAAAAAAAAATCCTTGGTGACTTTCATCCCATTGCCTTCGCAATTTACAATGGAAAATGATTCATGCCTTATGATGATGTACAAAATAGATTTATGCAAAATCAATTAAGAATGTGATTGTGTGTATGATGGTGTATGTAATGGGGATGCTTAATACAACAAGAGACACAGATTTAGTGATTCGATCTATGTGACATATTCTATTAAGAATAATGACGGTGACTAGAGAGTTTTATTACTCAAGGTGTGGTGTATTGAGATGTGTGTGATGTCTCTCATGTGTAGGCGGGACTTATAATTTATAGGTCAGTACAACTTCATAGTGCCTCGAGGGGTGCCTTGATTGAGTTGCCATTACAGGGAGCCCTAATTGAGGCGTCACCCTCGTAAATGGAGAGTGTGAATCCACGATGCCAACGTAACGAGCGAAGTGTCTGAAGCTGGCAATGAAACCTCAATGACTGCACTCCATAATTCCCTTCCTAAGATGGATATCTCCACGTGCCTATGAATTTCAGCCCATTAATATATTTCTTCAAAAAAGATACTCAAAATATATTAAAATATTATATTATTTATTTTAAAGAGTTATTTTTATAAATTTACTTCAATCATACTCTCTATTTTAACTAATTACTACTAATATTTTAAGTCAAAATATTGCATAGCTTGACACCTCATCAAAATGCAAAATAGTTATCCCTTTGGAGTGCAAAAAG